CAGGCCACCTCCTGCATGCACGCACACACACACACACACACACACACCGCGCGTGCATCAGTGCAGCCTGAGGACAGACCGGGCAGACCTGAGCACCTTCCCCTGGGCTCAGCCTGAGAATATCCAGGTGAGTGGCTGCTGTCCTCAACATCTTCCACTGCCAGCTATGTCCCCCCAAGTTTCTCTCAGGTCCTGCTCCCCCAGGAATCCCCATCCACCTATGCATAAGGATTGCTGACTTTTTAATTATTGTGGAAAATTTCAAACCTACAGAAAAGTGAAGCCCATTGTCTGAGGCAGTGGTGTTCAAAAGTGGGGCCAAGACCTCCTGCAGTGGCAACATCTCACTCGGCAACCCCACCCCAGACCTACAGAACCAGAAACTGAGGTACTAGCCAGGAACCTCTGTTCTCATAGGCAGCTGCAGGTGATTCTGACATGTGCCCAAGTCTGAGATCCACTTCTATAGTCACTGAGATGCCCATCTCCTATATCATATTGTTGATAACATTTAGTGTATTTCTTTCTTTCTTTTTTCCCAGTACTGGGACTTGAATTCAGGGCCTACACTGTGAGCCACTCCACCAGCCCTTTTTTTTATGGGTTTTTTTTTTTTTTTTTTTTTTGAGATAGGGTCTTGGGAACTACTTGCCTGGGCAGGCTTTGAACTGCAATTCTCCTGATATCTACCTCCTGAGTTACTAGTATTACAGATGTGAGCCACAGTGCCCACCTCAATGTATTTTTCTCTCTGCACCCCCCCACACACCAGCTCCTTTCCTTCCTCCCTTCTAAGTCCTGGGGTTTGAACCCTGAATCCTTTTTGCTTTAGTTATTTTTCAAATATGGTATTGCTTTTTTTTTTTTTTTTTTACATCATTGGGGTTTGAACTCACACTTGTTAGGCAGGCAGTAACTGCTTGAGCCACTCTGCCAGCCTTTTTTTTTTTTTTTTTTGATATAGGATATGGGACTGGCTCCCATCTTCCTGATCTCTGCCTCCTGAGTAGCCCAGCTCAAATAGGGTATTGCTTTTATGTCTGGGCAGACCTGGACCACTACTCCTATATACTCCTCTCCCCCACCCCTATAGCTGGGATGACACACACCACCACACCCAGATTCTTATTTGTTGAGATGAAGTCTCCTAACTTCTGCCTGGGCTGGCCTTGAACCACAGTCCTTCCCATCTTCAACACCCAAGTAGCTGGGATTACAGATATGAGCCACCATACTTGGTCTTTTATGGAAGTTTAACATATACCTACACATACATGCCATCATCATCATCACCATCATCAATATAGACCTCTGTGAATCTTCCCAAAGGGAACCCACTCAAGTAATTAACACTCACATCTAGAACAGAGCAACTTCCTAATCCCAGATGCCCTCGAATCATCTTCTTTGCTTTAGCTGCTATCTGCCTTCTCTACCCTTCTGAGGCAGGCTAGAAGTAGGAAAAGTTTAGGGCTCCTGTAGGTTGCCTGGGGATGGCCAGACCACCCTCATCTGGCTGGGAACTGCCCATGCCCCTCCCCACTCATTCATTATTGGGTGGGAACCTCCTGGGTCTGCCCTCCCGTGGGGTAGTGTAGGTTTTAAAGGCACCTGAAAAAGAAAAGTATGCTCGCTCTGCCAGCGGACTCCACCTACGTCTACCTTGCCCTCTGCTTCTTCTTCCCTTTCCTCACCTGGGAGAACAGGTGATGCCCTTTTTCTCAATAAAGCTATCCTACCTTGCCCCACCCATGTGTTCTGCTTGGATTTTTCCATTTGGAGCACAAAAACAAGGATCTTCTGATCACAGACTGTACCAGCGTTGTTAACACTTTCATCACATTTTTTTTGCGGTACTGGGGATGGAACTCACACCCTTGTGCATGCTAGACAGGCACTGTACCTCTGAGCTATATCCCTGCAGTGGGGGTTTTACAGTGGCTTTTGCAGGTGGGAGAAGCCAAAGACTCCAGCCAGAGGTTGGTGGAGATGCTGAGAGGTGGACAAATTCAACAGACTCCACAAGGCATCAATATGGCAGGTCCATATTGCCTCTAGTAAACTTTTGTGCAATATATATATATGCACTATATATATATGCATATATATATATACACTATATATATATATATATATGTATGACTGGAGTTTGAACTCAGAGCTTCAAGGTTGCAATGCAGGTGTACTATTGCTTAAACCACACCTCCATCCCATTTTGTTCTGGTTATTTTGTAGGTGGGGGTCTCAGGAACTATTTGCCCAAGGTGGCCTTGAGCCTGGCTTTGTGTGAATATTTCAATGGCATTCCTTCCTAACACATTTTTCACTTTTATATTTTGGTCATAATAAATCTACAATGTCAAATTGTGCTCAGAGGAACTGCCTTGTGCAGTGTCCATCCCCCACAGCTATCCAGAAATGCGGTCAGAAACACTGAACTGTCAGATTCAAGAAAATGGAGTCAAGCTCGGCACCAGTGGTTCACGCCTGTAATCCTAGCTACTTAGGAGGCAGAGACCAGGAGGCTCACCGGCCCCAGGCAGATATTTCTCCAGAGCTTATCTCTAAAAAAAACCCAACACAAAAAAAGCCTGGTGGAGTGGCAAGTGGTAGAGCACCTGCCTATCAAGCTTGAGGCCCCAGTGCCATAAAGAAAGAAAGAAGAAGAAGGAAGGAAGGAAGGAAAGAAAATGGAGACAGCACAGGAAGATTAGCATGGAGAAGAAAAATGTGGGTGGAAAAAAGGGGCAAGTCTCTTCTGGGGTGGCAGGCAGGGGGGTAGTCCTTTGAGGTCACCCAACTAACACCTGTCTCTCTGCAGGCAGTTCGCCACGATTGAGGCTGCTACCCAACGCCTGGCCCTATCCATTCTGTCCCAGGAGGCACCTCCCCAAAGACTGCCACCCAAAAGGCCTCCGCCACCCCCTCCATCCCCCTTCCTGGGGGTGGCCTGTGCTGTGGCCCCCATGGAGTTGTCCCATGCTAACCCCAGCTTGAGCCTTGCTGCCCTGGACACCTCAACCTTCGACCTCTTTGATGACATTGTGCTCACCCCAGAGTGTCCCTCAGTGCCATCTGACCTCTTCTTACAGCCTGTGACTGCTGATCCTCCTCTCCTGGCATCGGAAGTGTCCTATCATGCTCTGGGCCAGGGGGACCTGAGGCCGAGGGACCTGAAGGAAGCTCTACATTTCTCTGACCCTCTACTCCCTCCCCAGCATTCCCTGGAGGAGGAGGCTGAGCCTGCAGCTCTCAGCTGGGGTTGGGAGGACAGGTGGGAGGTCCCTTGTGCTTGGGATTCTCAGAGGATCCTTGAGGACTCGGGGGGCCCAGTGATGCCCAGTCACAACCAGACCAGGCCCCAGGACAAACCAGAGAGCCCTCCCCTGGAGCCTCCAACCCATCTGCTCCCTAACAGACTCTGAGAAAATCAACCAAGCCCAGCATCCCACCACTGCAGGGGCCTTCTCCCAGGTCCAGGGCCCACTCTGCCCTTCTGGGAGCCCCTTGTACTTCTCCTTGCCCCCTGCCTTCTCCCTTCTTTCTTCACAGCCTCATCTCCACTTCTGTGGCTCCTTCTTGCCCTGGTTCATCTCTCCCTAATGTCTACTCTCATCTCAACTGTTCCCAAAGATTTACTGAGTATCTACTATGGAACAGGCCGAGGCCCAGGTGTCCAGGTTGAGTGGTGAACAAGGCAGACAAGACCCCTGCCCTGGCAGAGCTCATGTGCATGTGTGTGTTTGCCAGAGACGAACTGACAATAAATGAGTATATGGATAGTATTTCAAAAGCTAACCTACAGTCTCAATTTCAGTTTTGAATTAGTGCTGAGTTGGAAATAAAACCACAACCTGATTCAGAGCCTACTTGAGTCAGGTGGTCAGGGAAGGCCTTGAATGCCAAGAAGGAGATAGTCAGGGAGATCTGTGGTCTGTGAATGAGAACGGCATATGCAAAGGCCGTGAGGTGGGATAGCAAGGGAGGGCAGTGTGACTGGAGTGGAGTGAGCAGGGAAAGTGTGGCAAGAGAGGAGGTCTGAGCGGTTCCCAAAGGCCCACCATGACTTGGGTGGAACTTGGAGTTTGTTCCAAGACAGATGGGAAATTCTCTGCCTCTTTCTCTCAACCTTTATTTCCAAGCACAGAGTCTAAATGTTACAAGGAGGCAGGTGCTGCACAGACAGGAAAACAAAACAAGTGGTTTAGTGGGGGTAGGGTGAGGAGGTGGTCAAATTCCTCAATTGCATCCTTAATTCTTTCCTGGAAAGTACTTGGATGTCTTTGTAAGTTTTTCTTTTCTTTTCCATTTATCTCTCTATCTATCTATCTAGATATCTATTTAATTTAGAGCCTAGAGCTTTCGGGGGGGATGGGGGGGACTGGGGTTTGAACTCATGACTTGAGCCACACCTCCAGGTCCATTTTACTCTGGCTATTTTTGGGGATAGGGTCTTGAGAACTATTTCCCTGGGCTGGCCTCCAGCTGTGATCCTCCCGATCTCAGCTTCCCAAGTAGCTAGGATACCAGCGTCCGGCTGCAGCCTGTCTTTTGACAGAAGAGCCAGGATTCGAGCCCCAGAACGTCCCCTATCCTGGGCAGAGCCTCGCTCGATCGCTGGCTCGCTCGTTCTCTCTGGCGCTCAGCCATCTGGTAGGTTGAACCCGACGCCACCAACAACCCTCCGAGCTTGAATCTGAGCACTCAGCTCTCACAGCGCTGCACAACTCCGGTATCCGCCGCAACGCATTTCCTCCACGACTCCCTATTGGTCAGATCTGCTGCCTCCCGGGCCACTATAGACCAATCAGATCCTCCAGACTGACAGCTTCGCAGTCCGGCCCTTCACTGGCGAAGCAGAGACGCATGCGGATTGGCCAAGAAGCGGGGAGTGGGGAGGGGGCAGAGCGAAGCAATCGACGATTGGACGATTTGGCCCAGGCGGGCAGGACGCGGACACTTGGAGGCGGGCCACGTGTCCGGACAGGGCGAAACGGTGACCCAATCCCAGAACCCAGCGGGTTGCAGAGTGGCGAAAGTCCCCAGGCTTCACCTGCGGAGGGGCCGGCCGGACTCCAATCTGGTATCTTCCGGGTAGGTCCCCGCTCTCTGAGCCCGCTGCTGGGAGACCGACCGTCCCACCTTGCAAACCGGGAAGAGGTGGTTCTGCCTCCAGCGGGAGGACTCCGCCCAACTCACCACAAGGCCACCGGGGAGGGACACAAACTCTCTCCGGGTGGCGGCCGCCGCCTCCATGCCCGGGGTCAAACTTTGCATCTACCTGGCAAATGGCTGATGGGTTTGATCCCCATTTCTCCCAGGGGGAAACTGAGGCCCAGATTGAGAGTGAAATTTGTCCAAGGTCACAGAACCAGGTCCAGAGCTGGGTTCCCAATGACACCTGGGGGGAAAGACAGCCCCACCCTCTCTCCAGGTGGCCGCTCACCTCGGGCGTGTCGCCTTCTCCCATGGGTATTCCTTACCCCCCTTCTTCTGAACCTTCTCACGATGCCCCACGACAGTCCCAAATCTGTCTCCACTCCAGACCTCTTACCTCCACATACATACTCCCTCAAACTGGTCATTTTCTCGCCAAAATGTCGTTTTCAACCCCCAGGTCCCAATTAGTCTAAGACCATGCCCCACACTGAACCAGAAACCTGGGGAGTCATGCTGGGCAAGGTGGTATACGTCTGTAATCCCAGCTTTTTGGAGGTGAAGGCAGGAGGATCTGCAGTTGGAGGCCAGCCTTAGCAAGACCTTATCTCAAAGACAAAATAGCAACTCAAATCCCACCAGAAAAAAAAAAAAAAGAGGAAGGAAGGAAAGGGAAAACAAAAGGGGACAAGGAAAGATAGGAAAAAGAGGGCTGGGGGGTGCCGTTCAAGCGGTAGAGCTCTTGCCTATCATGTGGGAGGAACCCTGAGTTTCTGGGACCTCCCCTTTCTAGCTGCTTTTGGGGATTCCAACTAGGCTCTTCCTCTAGTCAGACCCCACCACCATGGCCATTGAAACTTCTTCATTGTATTTTTCATTTCAAAAACTTTATGGAAGTATACCATATGCACAGAAAGTGGTACCAGTTAAAATACAGAGCTCAGATAAGTAAATAAATGTTCATGAAGTGAACACCCTGGTGTAAACAGCGTACTACTCAGGCAGTGTAGCTTCCCCCACAAGGCCCCACTGTCCTGACCTCTATCACCAAGGGTTGGTTTTGCTGGATTTAGACCTTATGCAAAGCTTGTGTTTATTATTCACTGGACAACCTGTTACACATTGTCCAAAATTCAAAAGGAACAGAATAGGACACAGTGTGGGTCAAGTCCCCCTCACACTTTGCTCCCCAAACCGGTTCCCAGTGTTCTGTCCTTATGTGTGAGATAGCAGGTGGAGATATCAGACACATTTCCCATTTTTTGGCACAAATGGGAGCATTCCACCCACGGTGTCCTCCCCTTTCACTTCTCCTGAGCACTTTTGCTACTTAAAAAGCTTCCCAACAGAAGTTTCTAGCTGCAAAGAATTCTGTAGCATGGATATACCGCAACTTCTGCCACCAGTGCCCTAACTCTGGATGTTTGGGTTTATTTCTGCTCATTTGCCCTGCAGTTAATAACCTGGTGTGGTTTCACAGGAATGTCTGCCAGATAAACACTTTAGAGACTTCTGGGTCAGAGGGCTTGAGAAATGTGGCCATGTGGGAGCTCTTCTGTGTGCTGTCATCTGTCTGTCTTTATGACATTCCAGCCCCCAGAGACTTCCTGCTGCCCTCAGCGGAGACCTCCAGGGCTTTTCTGGCCCATCAGGCAGCTCTCCAGCTCCTGTTTCCCTCTGAAATGTCCCTCTGTGCTGGTCTTCCATGGTCCTGCCTTGTGATCAGGGTAGGAGAGGTTAGCACCAGGAGTAATTACAGCACTCCAGGTGCAGGAAAGAGGTGGGATGGAGAGATGCAAAGGCCCTGGGGTGGGACTTGATTGGGCTGAGGCCAGAAGGGTCCCCATAGCCTTGTGGCAGGAGTTGTTCCTCAGTCCTGAAGTCAGAGAAAAGCCAATGGGTGGTGGTGGGGGGTAATGATAAGTGAGTGGCAGTCAGCTTAATGTTTTCTGAAACATCATTTTCCCCTCTTTACTTCCTCAGAGAGAGGTTTTCAGACCCTGCCAACATAGATCATGTTCTTGGCAAATCCTACCCCTTGTCACAGTTGTAATTGGTTTTCTTTGAAAGTGAGTTTCCATTCTGTTTTTAAAAATTTAGATAAACATCCTGTAAGGCAAAATCCACCATTACACTGGGATAGAACTCAGTGGTAAAGTATGTACTTAGTAGGTATGAGGCCCTGGGTTTGTCCCAGTACTCCACCCCCAAAAAAATCCATCGTCATCATTTTTTTTTGGTGGTGGTACTGGGATTTGAACTCAGGGCCTACACCTTGAGCCACTCCACCAGCCCTTTTTTTGTGTGTGATGGGTTTTTTTGAGCGAGGGTCTCTCGGGCTGGCTTTGAACCATGATCCTCCTGATCTCTCTTCTGAGTAGCTCAGATTCACTTTTTTGGGGGCAAAGGGGTGAAGGCTGGAGTTTGAACTCAGGGCCTCACACTTGCTAGGCAGGTGCTCTACCACTTGAGCCACTCCACCAGCCCTTTTTTGTGATGGGTTTTTTTCAAGATAGGGTCTCATGACCTATTCACCTGGGCTGGCTTTGAACCTCAATCCTCCTGATCTCTGCATCCTGAGTAGCCAAGATTACAGGCGTGAGCCACCAATGCCCAGCCCTCTATTCACTTTTAAAGGTGAGATTTGTTTTCTGAGTCAGAGTCTTACTGTAGCCCAGGCTGGCCTCAAACTCACAATCCTCCTGCCTCATCCTCCCAGAGTTATGTTACACATTTTCTATGGTAGATATATAGAATTTTAACAATAATAAACACCTGTGTACTTAACCACCTAGCTTAAAAAGTAGCAGATTGCCATTTGTGGGTTCCTGCTCTCCATTTGTCGAGTGAGTTAATGTGATGACCGAGCGCAAACAGCTCTACCTAGGCACAGGGGGAGAAAGCTACAGATGAAAAACCCAGCTGGAACCCCAGTTGTGCAGCAACCCGGGCACCTAGAAACACAGGCTTCTAAGGGATGAGGGCAGAGAACCACTTTGGCTCATGGAGCCTCAGCCCCCAGGTGTGGAGAAACACTGACTGAGGAAGTCAGCACACCCTGGGTTAAACTAGATCTTGGGGAAGTCACAGGTCCCTCCAGGACTTAGTTTCTTCCCTTATAAAAGTATTACTGAAGCTGGCATGGTGTTGCATGTCTGTAATCTCACTCCTCAGGAGGTAGAGGCAGGAGTTCCTAGAGTTCAAGACCAGCCTGGTCAAAGTTATTGAGGCCCTATCTCAAAAACAGACACAAAAGGGCTGGGACTGTAGCTCAAGGATAGCACACTTGCTTAGCCATGTGCAAGGCCCTGAGTTTAATCCCCAGTACCCAAAAAATATATATATATTTTTTATATATATATATTTATTATATATATATATATATAATTTATATATTTATAATATATATATATTACTAGGCCCTACCCCTTCTTTTTCTATTTTTAAATTGTGGTAAAATATGTATAGCATAAAACTTATCCCCCCCCCCTTTTTTTTTTCTGTGCTGAGGATGGAGCCCAGGGCCTTGCACATGCTAGGCAAGTGCTGTACCTCTGAGCTATATCTGAGCACTAAGATTTACTTTTGTAACCATTTTATGCCTTCCCCTCTTCCCCCCACACAACTTTGGTGATACTGGGGTTTGAACTCAGGGCCTACACTTTGAACCACTCCACCAGCCCTTTTTTGTGATGGGTTTTTTTTTTGAGATAGGGTCTTGTGAACTATTTGCCTGGACTGGCTTCAAACCAGGAGGCTCCTGATCTCTGCATCCTGCGTTGCCAGGATTACAGGCACGAGTCACCAGTGCCCTGCTACATTCTTTTTCTCTTTTTTTTTTTTTTCGTTGGAACTGGAGTTTGAACTCAGGGCTTCATGCTTGCAAAGTAGGCATTCTTTAGCCACACCTCCAGTTCCATGTGTTGGGTATTTTTGAGGTAGGATCTTGTGAACTATTTGCCAGGACTGGCCTCAAACCTCTGTTTTCCTGATCTCTGCCTCCCAAGTGCCCAGGTTTATAGACATGACCCACCACTGCCCTGCTTTTTTTGAGACTGGGTCTCACAGCGTAACCCAGGCTGGCCTCAAACTTCCTCCCTAGGGCTGGGTAAACTAAAGGCCAGAGAGGGTTAGTGGCCATGCTGGGGAATCTTAAGCTGCACCAGGCTTAGAGGATCTCAAAGAACTGTGGCTGCTGCAGGTAGTACAGGAGGGGGTGATAGAGTTCTTGCAGAATGTGGCTCTTTTTTCCTCAGTGGTCACATCCAACTCTCTATACCCTTGGACAGGTTGCCTCACTCTCAGGCCTCAGTTTCCCCTAAGAGCTGGGGTAATGATAGGAGCTACATTCAGGAGTCCCTGAGCAAGGGGCTGGAACCAGGACACAGAAGGACTGACAGGCGTGCATTAGGGGCAGGTGGAAACTGACACCCAGAAGTGCTGTTGACATTGTAACAGTCTCCAGAAGGAGGCCGGGGCTGGAGGGTGACAGTGGGGACCCAGGGTAGACATAGCTGGAAGAGGCTTCCTGAAGAAGTGGCCTCACAGATGGATAGGACAGGAAGAAGAAAAGAGTGTGTCCAGGTATAGGGGACAAAGATACAAAGACCATGGAGGGCAGGGTGTATAGGCCACAGACTGCAGCCAATGGACCCTGAATGGAGGCTGGAGACTACACCCTGACCTCCTCTGCCCACCTGACCCTGTCACTGCCCAACCCCAGGAAATGGCAGCAGCCAGGCTTGGCCTGGGGCGAGTCCTCCCAGAATCCTCCATCCTGTTCCTGTGTGACATGCAGGAGAAGTTTCGGAATATCGCCTACTTTCCACAGATCGTCTCTGTGGCCGCTCGAATGCTTAAGGTACCTGTTGGCCCTCATCTTCCAGATCTGGGAATCAAGACCCCAGCCCTCCTCCCTCAGACAAAGGATTCCAGACCCCTCGTCCTCTTCCCTCAGATGGGGCGTCCAGACCCAGCCCTACTCCTCAGATCCAGCGGTCCAGGTCCCAGTCCTCCTGCCTCAGACTCAGGGATCCAGGCCCCAGTCCTCCTCCCTCAGATGGGGCGTCCAGACCCAGCCCTACTCCTCAGATCCAGGAGTCCAGACCACAGCCCTCCTCCCTCAGACCCAGGGGTCCAGACCACAGCCCTCCTCCCTCAGACCCAGGGGTCCAGGCCCCTGCCCTCCTTCCTCAGACCCAAGGGTCCAGGCCCAGCCTTCTCCCTCAGACCCAGGAGTCCAGGCCCAGCCTCCCACCTCAGACCCAGAAGTCCAGACCCAGCCTCCTCCCTCAGACCCAAGGGTCCAGGCCCCAGCCCTCCTTCCTCAGACCCAAGGGTCCAGGCCCAGCCTTCTCCCTCAGACCCAGGGGTCCAGGCCCAGCCTCCTGCCTCAGACCCAGAAGTCCAAGCCCAGCCTCCTCCCTCAGACTCAGGGGTCCAGGCCCAGCCTCTTCCCTGAGACCCAGGCCTTTGCTTCCCCTCCCTGGTGCAGGTGGCCCGACTGCTGAATGTCCCAGCTGTGCTGACAGAGCAGTACCCACAAGGCCTGGGTCCCACAGTTCCCGAGCTGGGGGCTGATGGTCTTCAGCCCCTGAGCAAGACCTGCTTTAGCATGGTGCCCGCCTTGCAGCAGGAGTTAGACAGTTGTCCCCAGCTGCGGTCTGTGATGCTCTGTGGTATCGAGACACAAGCCTGCATCATGGTGAGATTCTGAGTGTCCCTGGGAGGGCCCATTCTCACCTCCAGGAACTCCCCTTTCCTGCAGGGGACCTTCATCCTCCCCTGGGAGCCCTTGCTGTGATCTGAGCCTCCCTCATCCCCATTCCTGTCTCAACTTCTGACCCAGGATCCACAGTCCCTCACTGGGCCCCAGTTCTAGTTGAGCTTGGCCTTGACTTCTCTCTGCCCCTAGCAAACAGCTCTAGACCTCCTAGACCGAGGTCTGCAGGTCCATGTGGTGGTGGATGCCTGCACTTCTCGAAGGTGAGAGGTCCCTCCCCGGGGTGGATACCGGGGGGGGGGGGAGCGGGAAGTAACTGGGGCCACCTGTCTATGTACCAGGGTGTTGGATTGTCCTTGCCACTGCATGGACACCTGGCTTCCTTCCCTCTTGCTCTCTTCAGCCAGGTGGACCGACTAGTGGCACTGGCCCGCTTGCGACAGAGTGGTGTTTTCCTCACCACCAGTGAAGGACTCATTTTGCAGCTTGTGAGGGATGCTGCCCACCCCAAGTTCAAAGAGGTAATGAGTCCCTGTGTCATCCACCCTGGGCCACTCCCTTGTGTAGGCAAGGAATACATCCAGGCACACAACAGTCCAGGACCTCCAGGGGGAGCTTAGTTCTGCTAAGTTCACTTATGCCTCTGCCATACATAAACAGAAAGGAGATGCCATAAAGACTAAGCAAGGGTGAGAAGGAAATGGGTTCAGGTGGCAGAGGACTTGCTAGCATATGAGGGGCCCTGGTTCAATCCCCAGTTCTGCAAAAAGAAAAAAAGTAAGGGAAGGATAATGTGCAGGGGCTATCTGGAGTGTAAGAGTGCAGAGGAAGGGGGTTTATAGGGTAGTTCTGAGGCTTTCTGGAGAAGGTGGCTATAGAATGAAGGGAAGGAGCCAGGCAGACATGGGGGACAGTCCAGTGGAGACCCTGTAGGCAGAAGTCTCCCTTGGGCTTCTGCCCTGTCCAGTCCTGGTGACTCTCCACCTCCACACACACTTCTGGTATGACCTCCATGTACTGGGGTCTGACTTGCTTCAAACCCTTGGCCTTCAAGATGACAGAGATACGCTGGAACCAGATAGTCGCAATCTTGTCCTCTCCTCTTCATTTAGTTCTGTGGAGCATTTGTTGGACACCTACTCTGGCAGCCACTGTGGTATGCCTAGGGCAGCAGCAGGGTCGGACCTCCTGAAGTTTGCATCACAGTGTGGAGATGAAAAGCCAACCCTTGTTCAGTAACACATTGACCTGGAGCTTGGAAGGGAATGGGCAGAGGAGAGCAAAGGGATGATAGCAGGGGACCTTGTACCTGAGACCTAGAGAGGGAGGAGCAGTCAGTCATTCCCTCCCTTTGGTGAGTGGTACACCAAAGGTCAAGAGGTGGGATAGGACTGAGCTTGCCTTATTCAAGGAACTATACATAACAGGGTGCAGTCAGTGCTGGGCAGGTGTGGGAGGAGGAGAGGCAGGCTGGAGCTATAGCCATGTTTTGGCAAAGATTTGGGGTTTTAGCAATGGCAGCCAATGAGGTTTTGCATAGGGCTGCTGACAGTGCAAAGATCTCTCTGGCATCATATAGCCAACAGATAAGGATAGATGGTGTGGGGGGAGAAGAGAGACTGCTCAGGCATCCAGGCAAGCAGTGATGGAGACTTAATCTGGATAGAGGCAGTAGAGATGCAGGCTTTGGTTTTTGTTACTGTTGGTTAATTTTCTGGATAAACTTGGCAGGACTTTTGGATAAAGGAGAAAAAAGGCAGTTGCATAAATGAGTCAGATGGCAAATCCGGGGCTGGATTTGGGAGTTGAGGGCCTTAAAGAGACAAGATGAGATTACTGAAGAAGTAGTCCCAGGACAGAGCCATCCATTCTTAAGTGGTCCAACTCAGCAAAGCAGACCAAGATGGCAGGCAGTTAGGAGCTAAACCAGGCAGGTGTGGTGAAAGGGAGGCCCCAGGGGAACTTGTGAGAAGTGAGTGGTTGACTTGAAGAGAGCTGCTGTCAAAGAGGTTCAGGAAGATAAGTGTCCCTCGGATTTGAAATAATGGAGATGGGGACCTTGACTCTTCCTGACCCATCCTCCTTCCACCTACAGATCCAGAAAATCATAAAGGAGCCCGTCCCGGACAGCGGACTGCTGGGCTTTTTCCAAGGCCAGAACCCCCTCTTCCGCTAAACTCCGGACTCTGACATGAGGAGGGACCACCCTCTTGTCACCCTGACATCTGTGGAAGCATTCTCCCCCCATCTTTGAATCCCAAGAGTGGTGCAATCCACCAAGAGTACCGCCCCCGCGGGAGAGGAGGCGTGGTTGTGCCTTCCCATTGGGCAGATGCTCCCGGAAATGCAAATGAGCCCCTGAGATCTGGGCGGGAATTGGCTGAGGGTGAAGTGGAGGCGGGGCTCGGCCCCGGGCCACTTCAAGGGGCGGGAAGGGGAGGGGGAAGGTGTGTCACAGACTGGGACCCGGACTTAGCGAATAAACATTGATGTGGCTGTGGACGGAACCATTATTGGGTTTGAGGGTATCCCGGGGGTTACTGGGGGCCGCGGGCGGGAGAAAGAGGGGTCTCCAGCAGGTGGGAAGGGGGAGGTGACTCCTCAGCTCCAAGCTGGCCCAAGGCGCCGGCGAGGGCTGGCGGCTGCCACATCTGCACGGGAGCCGGCGCTTATCTGCACGGGAAAGAACTGCCGCGGGGAATCGCAGCCACGCTGCCGGCCGCCCCCCTACCAGCGCGCGCACGCCCAGCACCGCAGATACGCTTGCTCTGCCTACCCCCGCCGGCCCCCACGCCGCCACCCCCGACTCCCCGAGGGTCCCGCATCCGGAAAGCGAGGTGAGCGCAACCGCACCTGGTGCGGAGAGGGAAACTGAGGCACGGGGCCTGGGGGACGGGGAAGAAGGGACAGGTATGTGAATGGATGAATGGGTGGATGGATGCAAGGATGGATGGATGGGTGGACGGATGGATGGTGGATGGAAGAACAGACAGCTACAGTTGAATGGCTCCTGCTCTCCCCAAACGCAGGAGTTGGGGGACCCACATGGGAGGTCCCAGAATTCTGCAGCCCCTTGCAGATCTGAGAGTTGAAACTCTACAGAGCCCCCGCTATTGAGCCCCCCGCAAGGTTTGCAGTCCTTGCCCCCTTCCCAGCTTTGGGGACCTAAGAAGGCATCCCCTGAGTCCCCCAGGTTTGCAGGGGCCAGAGCCCTCAACCATTCTGCCCCCAATGCCGATCCTTGCAGCCCAGACCCCTCCCAGAAGGGCCGGGCCCGGCCCGGCGTCACCGAGCCCAGCACCCCTTCCTCAGGAACCTAGGAGTCCCAGTCGCCATCCTTGAAGGCCCCGGAGGGGCGTCGACGCCCCGGCCCCCGCCTTCCGGATCCAGGTGTCCCCTCCACACCCCCAGCCCGAAGCCTGCGTCTCGAAGCCGCGCTCGCGTCGCCATGGCAACGGGAATCTATTTTGCGCTGGGAACACACAGCTCCCGCCGCAGCGCCCCCCACCCACCCCTCCTGAGAGTGGGGGACTGGAGGGGCGGGGGCCCTGCAGAGTGAGGGGGACACAGACACTCAAGAGAGACAGCCCCGGGACAGACACGCAGAGTCAGGGAGGCAGGGGCAGAGGGACCGTGTGTGGAGGCGACAGGGAGGACGCAGAGCCGGGAGGGGGAGACAGGAGATTGCGGGGGTCGGGGGTGGGGGTGTCGGAGAGCGGCGGCGAGAGACAGAGATGCCGGGACAGAGACCCAGGCGCAGCAGAGATGGGGAAAGCAAGAGCAGATTCCGTTAGACAGGGACCCGCAGGCGGGGGTCCGGGCCTCAGCATGGACCAGGTCACCAGGCCGGAGACGCACAGACCCGAGAGCCCTCTGGTCTGGCTGCGTGTGGTGCTAGGAGGGTCCCCCGCAGGGTTCCGCAGCACCCTCTCGCCCCTCAGGAATATCCCCTGAAACTCTTCCTCTCCCTCCGCATTTCCTCCTGCATCCTGCATCCTCATCCCTAACAGTCCTGCCAACCCCAGAGGTTCCTAGGAGTCTGGCTCTGCTCTCCCCACTGCTCACCCTCCAGCCCCACCACCACACCTGCAGACCCAGCTCCCGGCCACTTCAGAGGCTCTGACCCTTTCTCCTCTCTGCACTCCTTCTCCCCAAACTTTATGTCTCTGCCCCTTCCCTGAACACCTCTCCCACCCCCTCACTGTTCCCCTCTGGGCCTCTGTTTCCCTCTCTCTGTGTCTGTCCTCCTCCCACCAACACCCACCCCTCCTATACTACTTTCTGTGGTTTCTATATCCTCCCTGGTGTCTGTTTCTCAGTCTCCTTTGTTCTCTGCCCCCTCTTGGTTCTCTGCCCCGCTCTGTCTCCCCCCAGCTCTCTGTGCCCCCCTTCTCTGTCCCCCTGGTTCTCGGTCACCCTCCGGTTCCTTGTCCCTCCTAGTTCTCTCTCTCTCATCTGGTTCCAGGTTCCCCTCTCCCTGTACTCTTTCCCTCTTCAGTTTCTCTGTTGCTTCTTTGGGCCTGGGCACCTCCTAGACTCCTTCCTGCTGTTCTTGATGGGGCACTCAGGAGCAACTTGCCCTGACCCACCCAGCATGGTGTACTCCTGCATTCCGGCCACAGTCCCCTACCCACAGCTGGCCGGGCTAGGACAGGGACAGCAAGAGAGTGGAGTCCTGAACTCAAAACAGGCCCCCTCCCTAGCTTGGCTCCCCTAACCTATGTCCTCTGCATCTCTCAGGTCCTGAGCTGGGTCACAGGGGGGTGGACAAGGTACAGGGAAGGAGGACTGGTTCTGGGTCCCCGGTGGTAGAAGACAGTGCCTCTATGTGTGTGAGAGTGAGAGAGTTGGGGTGGAGTGTGGTGGGGGGTGGGGGCGGGGTGTCGCATGCCTCCTTCCAGATGTTCCCCTGCTGTGCACAGGTGGTGTGTGTGTGTGTGTGCAATCTGTGATGGGTGGGGAGTGTGCCTCTGTGAATTGAGCTCAGATCAATTTATTATTATTTAATGGTACTAGGGATGGAACCCAGGGCCTTGTGCATGCCAGGCAAGTGCTCCACCACTGAGCCACGCCCCCAGCCCTTGTGTCCTTAAGCTGCATGTTGCCCCAGTGTGCCCCAGTCTTGTGCGCTGACTGTGGCAATGCATAGCTGTGTGCCTGTGTGGAGCTCTGCATGCATGTCTGTGCTGGGAGGGTGCTACAGGTGTGCCACTAGGCGGACACTGGGTGTCCCTGTGTGTGTGTTGTGTCTGGGCATCCTGTGCTCTGTGTCATGCATACATAAGTTCTATTGCAGGAATGAGCATAGTCGCCACTGTGGACAGGCTGCTGTGTCTGCAGGAATGTATCCTCTGCCCACCCTCCTGGAGATGCTGTCTAGCACCAGGAAGTGTAGAGAGGCCATGACTGTGCCACTGCATGTGCACAGGGACAAGAGGATTCTGTTACAACAGAGAGAACGTGTGTCCACACAGAACCACTAGTCCACATGCAGCCTTTGAGCAGGCGAGGCAAATGCTCTCTTTACCCCAGCAGTTCTTCCCAGGCAGATGGCACCCAGTGTGAATCTGAAAAGGGCACCCTTCCCCCAGGTGCTGCAACCCTGCTGGGACATGCCTTTGGAAGCAGAGCCCAGTGGGATTTCAGCCTCTAAGCCAGACCCTTTAGTGCAGTGCACAACCTGCCCAATTATACATGGCAGCCCTCAATGAATAAAAGAATCCACATGGCTGTGTGCCCAGGCCAATCCCAGAAGGGGTGTTCGTCAACTCGTATTTCTTGGTCGGGGGGAATAAAGCCTTCTGTGTTCTACAGGTCTCAGTGCCTAGAGACCCGGGTTCAAAACCTAGCCCCATGGCTTGGGCACTGTGAGGTTCAGACCCTTTTGAATCTCAATGTCCTCATCTGAAGTGGTGCACACGCACAAGAGAGACAGCCCACCTCTGATACTTGTCTCAACATTTCCCAAGCAATAAATATTTACTGAGCATTTACTCTGTATCAGGCAGTGGTACTGGGGTTGTAGCTTTGCAGAGAAGATGTAGACAAACCTTCACAGGATTTCTAGTCTAGTGGGGAAGACAACAATAAGAGAATTCTCATACCACATGGCAAGTGTAGATGGCAGCTATGCAAAGACATCAAGCAGGGGAGGAAACCAGAGTGGGTCTGGGGCTGCTCTTCCAGGCTCACTGAAATGACAGGTGAGGGACAATAAAGACAGAGGAAGTGGGACTGGTGGCTCATGCCTGTAATCCAACTCTGGAGGCAGAGGCAGGAAGATCTTGGTCTGATGCCAGCCTGGGCAAAAGCAAAAAACTAAAAGCAAAATGGCTGGGAGTGTGTGGCTCAAGTGATCTACCTCTTGAACTTGGGGTGAGGATTGAATTTAGTGGATTGAATTTGAAGTGAGTGAAGTGAGGCCCCAAATTCAATCCCAGTACTGACAAAACAAAAAACAACAAGTGTAAGGGCAGGAAAGGTGGACCTCTTTAGAATGAAGCAGCTTTTGATGTAACCTGGTCTGTGTTTTGTTGTTGTTGTTGTTGTTTGCTTGTGTGTTTGTTTTTGGGTGGGACTGGGGTTTGAACTCAAGACTTTGCACTTGCAAAGCAGGTGCTCTACCACTTGAGTGACACCTCCAATCCTGTTTTGTTTTGTTTTTTTAAATTGTGGCAAAACACATAAAATTTACATTTTACCATTTTATGAACAACTCATTGGTATCTAGTATATTCGTGATATTGTGTAACCATCCTGGCTATCTAGTTCCAGAATTTTCTTTGGTGGGACCAGGGTTTGAACTTAGAACTTTGCACTTTCAAAGCAGGCACTCTACTGCCTCACCTCCAGTCCATTTTGCTCTGGTTATTTTGGGGATTGGGTTGCAAGAACTATTTTCTCAGGCTGGCCTCAAACTTCAACCCTCCAAATCTCTTCCTCCCAAGTAGCTAACATTACAGGCATGAGTCACCGGCGCCCTGCTCACTGTCTCCTTTTATGACTGGCTTCTTTCACTTAGCATAATGTTAGGGCTGGGGCCATGGCTCAAGTGGCAAAGCACTTGTCTAACAAGCAGGAGGCCCCGCGTTCAAACCCCAGGACTTCAAAAAGAGAAAGTCTCTCTCATTTAGCACAACATCAAGTGTCATCGATGTTGAAGTATGCAGTGCTGTTCCTTTTCAAGGCTGAATATGATCCAGTCTGTGGCCATTGCACATTTTCTTGATCCATTCATCCCTTAATGGACACTTGAGTGTTTTCCACTGTGGGGCTGTTACGAATCTGCTGTTCTGAACATTCATGCACATGTGTTTGTGTGGACATATGTTTTCGATTCTTTGGGGTCAGTACTTAGGAGTGAAATTGCTGGGTCCTGTGATAATTCTGCTCTGGTTATTTTGGAGATGGAGTCTTGAGAACTAGTTCCTGGGCTGGAAACTCAATCCTTCTGATTTCAGCTTCCCAAGTAGCTGGGATTATGGGTGTGAGCCACTGGAGCCCAACTCTTTTTTTTTTTTCTTTTGAGACAGTGTCTCGCTATATAGCCCAGGCTGTTCTTGAACTCAAAATCCTCCTGCCTCAACCTCCCAAGAGCTGGGATTACAGGGGTGTACTACCATGCTTGGCCCTTTCATGATTAAGAATTTCTTCTCAATGAGTATGCAACATGCATCGAATTTATTTGTGCCCATAAGTCTCTTCCCTTCCTGGAAGGTCAACCCCAGACAGACATGAACCTGTAGGTTTCTTCAGGGCTGCATGCTAGGGGCTCACAACAGCCTACAGCCTGGGGAGGGTGTTCTGTAGAATAGTTCAGATGGCCACTTTCAGAACTGATCCAAGGCCTTGGGGCAGCTGCCCCTGCTAGGGCATTCAAGGTTGTTATCTTGCAGACAGGAAGGGGGAGACTCAGAGGGAAGCCACCTCTGTCTACAGACCTACTCTAAACCACCCACTTGTCCTCCCTGCTCCCTGCAGGAGGCCAGGAATCCTCCCCACCTCCATAACCTTTCCTACCCACTCAGGTGGGCTGGACCAGGACCTGCATGGACTGTTGCTATAGAGACAGATAGAAACCCTACCCCTCTGACTCCTGAGTCCAAGTCTCTCTTCTCATCACCCCCTCATTGTTTATGTTCTTCTGCAATTGTAAACAGCAGCCTCCAACACTTTCCCACATGAAATCATATATATGAATATGTATGAACATCGGATACATGTGAAATCACGGTGTGCCAGGCTCCAAGCTCACATGCACCACTCTGTTCATCCTCACCCAGTGGCCACCATCCTTCTCCCACTTTATGGGGGTGGGGGTAAGGCTCAGGGCTGGGCTTAGGAAAGAGCCAGTCAGGTGTCAGGCAGCTGGGAAGTGACTGAAATGCAAGATGATCCACCCTGCCACCCCATCTGTGACAGACACTTCAGATGTGACACTGCAGTGCAGTGGTGTGTGGTGTGTCTCTGCCTCTCCAACTGTGACAGATAATTCAATGTGACACTGAAAGTGTGGAGTGTGTGTATGAGAGAGGGGGGTCTCAACCAGAAGCACTTTACCCCTCCCAGGGGGACATTTGGTGAGACCTTCACACATGTTGGTTGTTCCTGGCATCTTCCAATGGCTGCTAAACAGGCCCAGGTTGAGAACCCGGGCTACGTTCTAGGCTGCCTGACAGGCTCTCACCTCCACCTCCTCCAATTCATAATCATTCTCTCATTCTCCCCTCTCCCCTTCTCCCCTTCTCTGTCTCTCTCTCTCCCCTCCCCCTTCTCCACCTCCACTACTCTGCCGGCCCCACCCACGCCCGCCTCTGCTTGCCTGCCTTCCCTGGTCCCCCACATCCTCCTGCTTCTCTGCCCTCTTCCTCCTTCACCCCTTTCTTCTCGCTGTCGGTCCCGTTGATGTCCCCGCCGACGCTCCCACTCCTTCTCCCCCGCGCACTCCAGCCTCGGCTCTCGGACCCCGCGCAGCCTGGCAGCTACGCCCGCACCATGCCGGCCCTCCTGCTGCTCGGGACCGTCGTGTTGCTGGCCTCGGCCGCCGGTCAGGCCGGGGCGCGCCCGTCCAACGCCTCGAGCGCCGCGCCCCCGGGCCCGCTACCCGCGCTGCTGGCGCACCTGCGGCGCCTGACGGGGGCGCTGGCGGGCGGCGGGGGCACGGCGGGCCCCGGAGCCAACACCACCAGGTCGGGACCCGCGGGCGGCGCGGGCGCAGCGGCACGAGCGCCCCCTCCGGCCGAGCTCTGCCACGGCTACTACGACGTCATGGGCCAGTACGACGCCACCTTCAACTGTAGCACCGGCTCCTACCGCTTCTGCTGCGGCACCTGCCACTACCGCTTCTGCTGCGAGCACCGCCACATGCGCCTGGCGCAGGCCTCCTGCTCCAACTACGACACGCCACGATGGGCCACCACGCCGCCGCCGCTAGCTGGGGGCGCTGGGGGCGCCGGGGGTGCGGGCGGAGGGCCAGGGCCTGGCCAGGCCGGGTGGCTGGAAGGGGGCCGGACAGGGGGTGCCGGAGGGCGCGGGGGCGAGGGTCCCGGGGGCAGCACGGCCTACGTGGTGTGCGGGGTCATCAGCTTTGCCCTGGCCGTGGGCGTCGGTGCCAAAGTGGCCTTCAGCAAGGCGTCGCGCGCGCCCAGGGCGCACCGGGAAATCAACGTGCCCAGGTGAGTGTGAGCTGGGGGCGTGGTCCGGGTGGTGGGCGGAGCCATTTGTGGGGGTGGAGCCACAAGGGAGGGCGGGGCTAGAGAGACCCAAAGCTGACTGAATACTCAGGGAGGTTGGACCGGGCTTGAGACCAGATGCGACATAAGCTACGTGGCTGTTGAGAGATGAGGGAAGGGGAGATCAGCCCTCATCTATTCAACATTCAACAAATGTTTATTGAATTTGAATAGGAAATTTATTTCCTAGTCGGCTGTAATCCTAGCTACCTGGGAGGCTGAGATCGGGAGGATTACGGTTTGAGGCCAGCCTGGACAAATAGTTCGTGCGACTCCATTTCCAAAAATAACCAGAACAAAGTGGACTGGAGTGTGGCTCAAGCATTACAGCATCTATTTTCCAAGCGTGAAGCCCTGAGTTCAAACGCCAGTCCCATAAAAAAAAAATCTTTCTGGAGCTGGGAATACAGACAGGATTGAACAAAACGAAGTCAGGATTAACCTGGCCCAGTGTGCTGCCTGACAGCTATGTGCCATTGGGCAACTTACTTAACTGCTCTGTGCCTCAGTTTCCTCACCTGTACAACAGGATTAATAATAGTCCCCATCTATTCAAATTATAATGAAGATTAACTGAGTTGATTCATGTAGAATCCTGGCACTTAGTTAAGTGCTTATTAAATATTTGTGGTGGAGTTAGCAAGAATATATATATATGTTTTAGACATTAGTAACTGCTGTAAAGAAAATAAAGCAGGGTAAAGGTTTGAGAAATTTCAGGGAGTGCAGGTTTAGTCTAAATGGTCAGAAAAGGCTTGTCTGAGCAGAGACCTTGAAGGAACTGAGGGAGGAGCCAAGCAGAGATCTGTGAGGCAGTGGGAATAGCATGTGCAAAGGCCCTGATGTGGCCTGCTTGCAGGATGGGTGCAGCTGCAGCACGGTGGACGAAGAGGAGTGGGCAGAGGCTGAATTTCTTCTCAATGTGGTGGGAAGCCATGGGAAGCTTATAGTTTGGGAGCAATGCACTGGGGTTGTGCATAAGACTAGACTGAAGCAGGAGCAGCAGCAGGAGACCTGGGAAGAGGCTGTGTAATTTCCAGGTGGGAGAGGGAGCTGCTGGCATTGGAGATGAGGGCGGTGGTCTGATGTGGGATATAGTTTTGAGGTTGAACCTGCAGGATGCATAGAAGAAGGAGTCAGGTGATCCTGAGGTTTGAGGTGGATGAAGGAGGGCACCTTATGGCCATGAGGAAGTCTGCAAAAGGAACAGGAATGGGGTCCCAGGTTCGGGGTGGGGCGGGTCCACAGATGAGGAGATGCAAACCCCATGGGAGGGGTGGGATCCAAATGAACTGAAGCTGTCCTGGAAGGGTGGCACCAGAGTAGACGTGGCCAAAGGCGGGCAGCGGAGCTGAGTGACAAATTCTACTAAAGGAAAGAACAGGGGAGGGAATGAGGCCTGGGCCCTCCCTCCTCATTCCCACCCTCTCAGTCCCAGGCCTCTGACCATCCCTCTACCATCTTTAGGGCTCTGGTGGACATTCTGAGGCATCAGGCAGGGCCTGGGACCCGCCCGGACCGGGCCCGAAGCAGCTCCCTGACGCCTGGGTTAGGGGGTTCTGACAGCATGCCCCCTAGGACGCCCAAGAACCTCTACAATCCCGTGAAGCCCTCCAATCTAGGTGAGTGGGAGGCGTGGCTGAAGCCTGGTCTCTGGTCACGCCCCTTATTTCTGTGGCTCCGCCCTCCCCAGTGGCCCCGCCTTCGTTGCCCAGGCCCCGCCCTAGCCTCTGTGGGCATTTCCTGAACGTTTATTTTCGCTATTTAATGCTTGTCCTGCTCGTCAATGGAAAAATCGAGGACAGGGGGCTTCAGGAGATGGGAAGTTACATGGAGTGCACCCCCTCTGCTTTTGGGGGGGTGCGAGGAGGGCTTCCCCCAGGGAGTGATGTTTGAGGGGAGCTACAGCTGCTGTGGGAGCTCTTGGTGGCTGGGACAGAGCTTTCAGGCAGCCAGATCTACGGCCAGGGAGAAGGTGGACTCATAGGGCCTCAAGTGCCAGGCTGAGCTAAGGAGTTCTGCCTTGGTCCTGAAGGCATTGGGAAGCCACAGAAATGTTTAGAGCAGGGCACCAACACAGTCAGAAGTGCATGTCTCTGGAACCATTCTGAAAGGGAAAGAAGACGGGAAAGAGGCTAAGGAGGAAGTGAGGGTGATTTAGATGATAAGAGGAGGGAACTGAGCTGGAGTCAGAAGGGGAAAAGAGATTGAATAGTAGTAAGGAGGAGGCATTCGAGGTGCATCTTAAGGCACCAATAGTTCTTCCAGCGATGAGGGGAGAAAGGAACTCAAAGGCAGCCAGAAGAGCATAATAGCATGTGCAAAGGTCCTGCGGCAAGATGGAGCCAGGCTCATACAGGCTCAAAGAGAAGAGTGGCTGGAGAGGAAGGTAGGATATGAGGCTTCATATGATAGCTGGGGCCAAGTTACAAGGGCATCAGGCATCATTCACAGGTCCCTTGGACCCATGGTGATGGTGAGCCATGGGAAGGGTCACAACCATAGAAGGACAAACTCTGTCATGAGTCTGACCTTGGCAGTGAGCTGGCAGAATGGTAGAGGCAGGTCTGAGGATTTAGTGAGAGAGTGGGGATGGGGATGTAAAAGCAGCTGACAGAAGGGACCAGCTGGGTGTGAATGGCGAGGGGGAAGAAGCCGTCAAGGAGACCCCAATGTCTGGTTGTTGGGGTGGGTGTAGAAGCCAGGGACAGCCCACTCTCCTGTGCCCACATACCCTGCAAGTCCCCAGCCTTAGATTCCCAAATGTGGCTAATGGCAGGGGTTGAAATGAGGTTGGGGGTTGGGTGGGGAGGGGGCTAAGCCTGGGGCCAGGATTATTCCTAGAGACCAAGGCAGCAGTGCCAGCTCCTCCATCACCTCCCTTCTCGGTCCCTCAGATAACCTGCACCACAACTACCTGCACCTCAACGTCAACAGTCCCAAGCACCACGCAGCCACACTGGGTATGCAGAGGCCAGCAGCAGCCAGGGGAGCAGGTCCTTCCTGCCCTGCAGTGGGAGGTCCCAGCCAGATGGCGGGTGGAGCCCAAGTCAAGCCCTGTGAGCTGTGCTCACAGTGTGCATGTCTGGCCGACCTAGGGTCCCTGGAGGACACCAGAAGTCATCTTCCCCGACCCAGGGTGGGGGAAGTTACATGGAGTGCACCCCCAGCCTGGAGCCAGCACTCAGGGGGCACAGACAAATGCCCGTTGTTCCCATGCTGGGACACACCCTCCTCCCCAGCAACAAACCTACTATGGAGTGGGAGGTGTAAAGAGATTCTGAAGTTCTGGGGCTTTGACAGCTGGAGTCCAGATTTTTTAACTCCCTGGAAGCTGGGTGGGCCTGGATCTGTGGGTCTGAGGGAGGAGGGCTGGAGTCTGGACCCCTGGGTCTGAGGGAGGAGGGCTGGGCGTGGACTTCTTTATGTTTTGTTTTGTTTTGTTATTGTTTCTATTTTTTATTTCACTTTTGCTTCTTTTTGGTGGGCATTTGAACTTCTCAGATGAAAGAAAACGGCTAGGACCTGAACTCCTAGGTCTGAGGGAGGAGGACTGGGGCCTGGATCTCTGAGTCTGAGGAAGCAGGGCCAGGGGCTGGATTCCTAGGGTTGTAGGAGAAGAGCTCTATCTGGACCCCTGAGTCTGAGGGAGGAGGGCTGGGGCCTGGACCCCTGGGTCTGAGGGAGGAGGGTTGAGACCTGGACCCCTGGGTCTGAGGGAGGAAATCTGGGGTCTGGACCCATGGGCCATTGGTGGAAAGGCAGGACTGACTGGCTGCCCCCTCTGCCTAGACTGGCGGGCCATGCCACCACCCAGCCCCTCCTTGCACTACTCCACGCTGTCCTGCTCTCGGTCCTTCCACAACCTTTCGCATCTGCCCCCATCCTATGAGGCTGCCGTGAAATCTGAACTGAACCGCTACTCCTCCCTCAAGAGGCTGGGTGAGTCTCGGGTGGGGAGCATGTATGGCAGGGCAGGGACGCCAGGGCAGGATGGGAGCTGAGTTCAGGACCACGGACAGCAGCCCACTAGTCCACTGGAGGTTTAGATCCTTTCTGGAGCTTTTCTCCAGGTTTATTTTAGAATCACCTGAGGTAATTTGTATCAGAATTGTCTGCTTACTTGTTTGTTTGTTTAATGCAAGTACATAGTGCCCATTCCCAAGACCTATTGCATTTTTTAGGACTTATACTTACCATTAATAGAAGTACAACTGAAACAAAGAAAAGCATTTTGTTGACTCTTGATTGAAAACCAGTAGTCTCCAAGTTACAAGCTTCAGGTGTGGCTGGCTGGCTCTAGGTGCTCAAAAGCTGCCTTCAGGATTCTACATCTCTCAGCTTCTCTAAACAATGAACTGGCCTCATATTCAGACAGAGTTTCCCCCAAGAATCCTCCCAAAGAAATTCTGCTCAAGAATTTTTTTTTTCTTTTTGGTATTTGTGTTTAAACTCAGGGCCTCATGCTTGCTGGGCAGGCACTCTCCCACTTTAATCACTCACCTGCCCTACTTTCCTTATTTGTTTTATTTATTTATTTGGATAGAGTCACCTCTCTATGTTGGGCCTGGCCTGGACTTATTTACAGTCCTCCACCTAGCTGGTGTGACAGGTGGGCACCACCAGGCCCAGCTTTTTATTGGTTGACATGGGGTGTCACTGTTTGTCCAAGCTGGACTCGTTCAACAATCCTCCCAATCTCTGCCTCCTGAGCAGCGTAGATTACAGGGCCCCAGATCTATTTCATTTTGCAAACTACAGGTCACTACCCACAAAACTAACTTCATCACCCACCAAAGAGTTGCAAATCCAAGTGTGACAAACACTGCTACAGTATGACAGGGGAAGGTTTTGGGTTCCCAAAAAGCCAGTATTGGGTTCAGATCTGGAAAGAAGGAATACCCAGAGGCAGAATAAAATGAGTGTCCCCATATCTACTGTCCCCACACTAGGGGTGGATCTGGAAACCTGGAGTTGGCCACATAGCTACTCTGGTGGTCCTGATCAAATTTCCAGTCCTTCTGGGTATAGTAGGGGAAGGAAAAAGGCGGTCAGATGAAACAGGTAAGGAGTCTGGAAGGAGGAAGGCTCTAGACTGGCAAGAGACCCCCTCTGTGGCCTTTCTCCTCCCCCAGCCGAGAAAGATCTGGACGAGGCCTACCTGAAGCGCCGGCACCTGGAGATGCCCCGCGGGACGCTGCCCCTGCACGCACTGCGGCGACCTGGCACCGGGGGCGGCTACCGCATGGATGGCTGGGGTGGCCCAGAGGAGCTGGGCCTGGCACCTGCGCCCAACCCGCGGCGGGTCATGTCCCAGGAGCACCTGCTGGGCGATGGCCGGGCCTCGCGCTATGAGTTTACGCTGCCTCGTGCTCGCCTGGTGTCGCAGGAACACCTGCTCCTGTCCTCACCCGAGGTCCTGCGCCAGAGCCGAGAGCACCTGCTGTCGCCTCCGCGCAGCCCCGCGCTGCCCCCTGAGCCCACCACCCGGGCAGGCCTGGCCGCCTCGCACTCCAACCTGCTGCTGGGGCCTGGGGGGCCCCCCACGCCGCTGCATGGGATGCCACCATCGGGCCTGCACGCCCACCACCACCACGCCCTGCATGGCTCGCCTCAGCCCGCCTGGATGTCTGATGCGGGCGGGGGTGGAGGCACGCTGGCCCGCAGGCCGCCCTTTCAGCGCCAGGGCACCCTGGAGCAGCTGCAGTTCATCCCTGGCCACCACCTGCCCCAGCACTTGCGCACTGCCAGCAAGAATGAGGTGACTGTCTGAGGCCAGGGCAGGGGGCTGGGGGCTGTGGCCTCCCTGGCCCCCTTATCCCAGCTGGGATCCCAGACACAGGCTCACACGCCCCAGGGGCCTGAGACCCAGATGGGCCCTGGGACGGGAGACAAGGCCTCCTTGGGGGTGTCACTGCAGACAAGATCCCTCCTTCTATTACTTACTGTTTGAGCCATGCCTCCTTCCCATGAGGTCATCACAGAGGAAGAGGCCCACACATGAGGTCATCGCTAGTGAAAATGTCTGTGTTCTGTGATGTCATGAGGTCCCATGAGGACCCATGAGGTCATCACAGAGGAAGACGCCTGCCTGTGAGGTCATTACTAGAAGCTGTGTACTAGAGGTGATTTCTGTGACATCACCACAAAGACTTCCTTCGTGTGGTGTCATTGCAGACAATGCCTTGTCCTGGTCCATCATCCCTAAAGACAAAGCTTCCCTCCCGTGATGTTACTGCACAGACAAGCCTCACCCTCCTGATGTCAATGTTAGCCTCTCTTGACATTATCATCACAGGGAAATATTTTCCTCCACGTGTTCACTCTGGAGAAGATGCCTCTGCCCTATTGATGCCTGATGCCATCACTACAGACAAAGCCATCTCCCTAGGACAAACCTAAGGGGACAAATGCCCTGCCAACTGTGTCCTCCCTAAAGATAAGGCCACCTTTCTACAACACTGTCACAGGACTCTGCCTCCTTCATGTGATGCCATCACCAGAGAAGGTGCCTTGCCCTATGACACCATCAGAGGGACCGTGCCTCTTCCTGTGATGTCATCACCAGAGATGACAACCCACTCGTGAGATGTCTCCAGGATGAGGCCTTCCTGAGATGTCACCACTAGATGCTACCCACTTGGGGATGACACCTCCAGGATGATACCTCCACTGCTGTGCCATGTTGTGAGAAGGCAGGACCTGCCAAGTCCATGGCCAACCTGGGAAGATACCAGAGAAAATGTCCTATCCTGAGTTGTTGTCTGAGGGGTATAAGACCTGAGAAGCCGAGACAATGGTCTGTTTGTAGGTTGATGGTGGTGACACCCACCCATGCTGATGTCATCACCAAGCACTTCCTCCTCAGAGGCAGTGCCCACTCTGGACAGTGTCACCAGAGTTCCTGCCTTGTCGCACCATGACTTTTCTTGGGGGCTTCTTCCTCTGACCATAGGGACGTAAATGACAGGTTGTCTGCCAGACCCTCTAAAGGGAGGTTGGGTCTCAGGTCCTGCCTCTATGCAGTGACTCCTTGGGGACTGTATCTGTGGGTGGGCTTCTGCTCCAAGGAGGCCTCTTGAGGCCCACCAGGCTCTAGAGTCCTGGAATTTGTTGGCCCAAAGGCTGGTGTCACTTCTTTCTGCCATATCTAGAGACATCATTATCAGCTCTGTCAACAAAATCTTAGCCTCCTATTGGAGGGAGAAGTTTGGGGAGTGAGTGCTATTGGCGTTGCCAATCATCATCAGCGTCACTCAATGTCCACCACTCAGGATGGCACAGCACTTGGTGTCAAATGTTAACTGTGTCATTTCCTTGAATTTCCTAAGACCCACCTCAACTAGCAAATTCTCTTCCAGTATTTACCATGACTAATGTCATCACCTCCTAGTGTCTTCCACAGCCATGGTGTCATCACCATCTCCCAGTGTCCTCCACAATCATGGTGTCATCATCACCTCCCAGTGTCCACCACAACCATGGTGTCATCACCATCTCCCAGTGTCTTCCACAGCCATGGTGTCATCACCTCCCAGTGTCCACCACAACCATGGTGTCATCACCATCTCCCAGTGTCTTCCACAGCCATGGTGTCATCATCACCTCCCAGTGTCCACCACAACCATGGTGTCATCACCATCTCCCAATGTCCTCCACAGCCATGGTGTCATCACCTCCCAGTGTCCACCACAACCATAGTGTCATCACCATCTCCCAGGGTCCACCACAACCATGGTGTCATCACCATCTCCCAATGTCCTCCACAACCATGGTATCATCATCTCCCAGTGTCTTCCACAACCATAGTGTCATCACCATCTTCCAGGGTCCACCACAACCATGGTGTCATCTCCCAGGATTCACCATGACCAATGATGTCCTTACCATCCAGAATCCATTATGCCTAATGGTGACATCCTCCTCCAGGACTCACCAGGACTGATGATGCCCGTGTTCTCATAATTCCCCATAATTGTGTTTCATTACCTCAGGACCCATGTTACTCATATCTTCATGCTTTGGAGATCCACTTCAGACCTGGTGTCCTCATGTCCCAGGATCCACCACAGCTATGGTCTCCTCACCTCCCAGGATTCATTGCAACCATAGTGTCATTACCTTCCAAGATGCATAAGAGCAAATGGTGTCTTCATCTCCTAGGACTCACTTCAACCATGGTGTCCTCATGTCCCAGGATCCATGACAGCCAGTGATTTCATCACCTCCCAGAATCCATGACACCTAATAGTACCATCATCTAAGGATCCATGAGAGCCATGGTGTCATCACCTCCCAGAAGCCATGAGAGCCAATGATGTCACCATCTACTGAGATCCACCTTCATCATGATGTCATCACCTTCCAGGACCCATGTGTCATTATCTTCCAGGATCCACTGCAACCATGCGGCATCACCTGCCAGGATCCACCATCTTAGAGGCCAAATACCATGACAGGCTGTATTTCAATTGTCCTCCAGGGCCACCAGGCACTTATAGTTGTTCCCTTCAGGGGAACCAGCACAACACACCATTTTTTCATTCCCTTGAATGGACTAGGGTGGAGCCAGCTGTCCCGCTCTGATAACATCACTCTGACCCTTCTTAATTATGTCACTGCCTCACTCCTGAGCTGGTAGAGCCCTGGATCAGCCCGACACAGACTTGGCCTTGGCCAGCCTCCCCTCACCCAGAGGACATCTAGACTCCTCCCAAGACCACCACTGCCCCTTGCCCAGCCATCTGCTTGGTGATAGGGTCAACCCAGTGACCTCTCTTTGTCACCAGAGGTGAGCTGGCCAGCCCTTGGATGGTATCACTGCCCCTTGCCCAATCCTTGGAACCTGGACCCCATCAGAATCAGAAATCCATGGCGTGGGGCACACTTTCCTCAGAGGAGACCCCTGGCCCTGTGGGAAGGACCAACAGCTGATGAACCACCTGGGCCTCAGCACTGCCCTCTGCTGGCCCAGCCTAGGATAGGCATATCTGACAGCAAGGGCTCCTGCCAGCCAGGGGCCAAGGGTGCTCCTATCCCTCTCCCTCACACACCAGGGAGTGCCCCGGGGGGGGGGGGCTCCAGGGAGTCCCCAACACCTAATGCACAATCTGCCCCCAGTTCTCTTTGTACATAGCCATATTGCAGGGGCGGCCATTCCCCACTCTTAAAGGGCTACAAGCCCCCCCAGCCCCCAGGGCAAGGTATGGGGGGGCCTCTTCTCCCTCCTCTGGGCCGCTCCTCCCTCTTATGTCTCCCCAAAATATTGGCCCCTCTCTCATCCTTTCTTTTCAGGAGCCTGGGGCAGATAATGGCCCTAGACTTCTCTCATGGCTAAGGAACCTGCAAGGTTATCCCCCATCCACCCAGGCCCCAACTTCCATGGTCTCCCCCAATCCCTTCTATGGCCTTCCAGCAGTGTGCTCAGGCAGACTGTGACCTCCCCAGAGAGCAGCCAACTGGAGCTACTGCCCATGCCTGGACCACCCCCTCCTTAGCTCAACACCCCCATGGAACACTCAACTGTCTTCAGCCCCCAGAGTTTGGGAGCTTGGGGCCAAAGCTTTTGTATGCCTCTCTCAATTTGCTATTTCCCAACCTGGGTTTGGGAATCTGGCCCCAAGCCTCTACCCTCCATTCACTTGGCACAGGCTGCCTGACCCTGGGGCCTTGACCTCTTTATCTCGAATAAGCCATAGTGGGGAGAGGTCTCGAGGATTGGCCAGCAGGCAGCATCCTTCCCGTTCCCCCTCTATGCTTCCAGAGCTAGGATCTGGCCTTCTGAGTCTTCCCCAATCCCTCAATAAATGCACACAAACGTGTGTACATACACACACCTGTGGATGCAAGCGTCTCCCCTTCTGGCTGGGGGCCACAGAAGGGGTGTCACATGGAGAAGATTACAGTGGCAGTACCAGACCAGAGGACCCTCCACAACTTTGCCCCCTCCTTACCCCTCCCCTCCTCAGTCCAACACTGGCCCCTAACCCTCAACTTCCTGGGGAGGACAGCCAGAGGAGGTTTGACTTGGTATTTTTTGGAATAAACACATTTTTCCTGATCCATGGTTTCAAGGTTTCCTGCCAGGAAAGAATGGGTCTCCACTCATTTGTTCATTGGGAATCCTCTCCCCTCCACACCCCTCCCCCCACTATGTGCAGTTGAGTGTAGGTACAGCCAACCCCACACTTGCCAGGGGATCTCTTCTGTTTCCAGATGGCTCAGAGGCACCCCTGCCTTGTCCACTACCAAACTGCAGAGGGTAGGAGTATTGTATGTGCTTTTTTTTTTTTTTTCCTTAGTGGGACTGGGATTTGACTCTCAGGGCTTCATGCAGGCACTCTTCTGCTTGAATGACGCCTCCAGTCCATTTTGCTCTGGTTATTTTGGAGATAGGGTCTCTCAAACTATTTGCCTGAGCTGGCCTTAAAGCATGATCCTCTCCAGATCTCAGCCTCCCAAGTAGCTAGGATTATTTTTTGTTTTTTTAAGACAAGGGCCATCAGGGATCCAACCACTGGTTCTGGGAACGAGGCCTGGAGGTTGGCTGTGTAGCCCAGGCTGTCCTCCAACTCCTGATCCTCCTGCCTCAACCTTCCAAGTGCTGGGATCACAGACGCACAACACTGTGCCTAACCATAATATGTGTAAAGTGCTTTTATGTTCAGGGCTTCTTCTTCACGAAAGCCTTCCTCTCTCTGAGCATGTAAGCATGGTTTAAAGATTCTAGAAATCACCTCATTATATCTGAGTTCTTTGGCTGATTACTGTGGG